AGGTGGAAAAGTGAAAAACGGAAAAACGGACCCAGAACAAGCCTTCCCACGATGGAAAGGCAGTTGCCTTGAACAACGTGTGCTCCAAAATGGTCTCAACGCCGCCAAGAGCTTGTATAACGTCCGTTCGGTAAGCTAAAATGCAGGTCAGCGAAATGTGCTCTCCGTGACGCTCTCCGTCAAGACAGCGAGTTTTCTCCGCCGAGTGCAGAGCTTATCATCAGGGTGTTGCCATATAGGGCGGGGAGAGTACCGTGCAGCGGGAAGTTTTGATTTCGTGCAGCGGAAACAGAAATTTTTCAAAGTTTTTCATGTCGTGCAGCGGAAAGAGGATTTTTTGGGGGTTGTGATGGGGAGGGTGCTCTCCGTCAAGGAGGCAGTTGTTCAACGTCAAGTGCAGAGCTCATCACCATAGTGTTGACACATAAGGTGGGGAGAGCATCGTGCAGCGGAAAGAGGAAAAAGTTTTCGTGCAGCGGAAAAAGGAAATTTTTCATATCGTGCAGCGGGGGAGGAAGTTTTTTTTTGGGTATGTGATGGGAGGGTGCTCTCCGTCAAGACGGCAGTTCTTGTACGTCGAGCGTTCAAGTTGTCGGTACAAAATTTTCGGGGATTTGGGGTTGTGATGGGGAGGAGGAGGAGGGTGCTCTCCGTCAAGAAGGCAGCTTTTGTACGTCGAGAGTTCAATTTGTCGGTAGGAAAGTTTCGAGGATTTGGGGATGTGATGGAGAGCCTGCTCTCCGTCAAGAAGGTGATTCTTGTACGTCGAGAGTTCAATCCGTTGGTACCACATTTCGGGGATTTGGGGATGCGATGGGGAGGGAGGGTGCTCTCCACCTTATGTTTCAACACTCTGGTGATGAGCTCTGCACTCGACGTTGAACAACTGCCTTCTTGACGGGGAGAATATCGTGCAGCGGGAGGAGGAATTTTTTTTGTTTTCGGGGATTTGGGGAGGGGGGGGGGGAGGGTGGAGAGGGTGCTCTCCACCTTATGTGTCAACACTCTGGTGATGAGCTCTGCACTCGACGTTGAACAACTGCTCTCTTGACGGGGAGAATATCGTGCAGAGGGAGGAGGGAGGGAAGAGGGAGGGTTTCATACCGTTAAGGTTCCACAGCTTTCCGTCATGTTTCTGGGATGTCCACCAAAAGGGATTGCTCTTCATGTGCTGGTAAAGCTTGAATTCAGTCCTGGTCCTGAAACCCTTGTCAAAGGACAGCGTAGATCGATCCTTTTGGAAGAGCGTGTTGATACGAGGCAGACCGCGATCCCATGAGTCCTCCAGATCCTCAAGTGTCAGACGGCGGTTCTGCTGGTTGGCTTCCAGTCGCTTCTGTGAGTACTCGGTCCACACACGTTGCGAGTCAATAAACTCGGCCTCCCAAGGAATGATGTACCGGAAGATGTTGGGAATCAGAGTCTCCTTATCGTGGCTCATACCAGCCCGGAAATGGCTTACGCCGCTGTCGGTTTGCTTCGACCAGCGCTTGTCCGACGCAGGAATGAGGATGTGGGAGCCAGAGATCATACCGAGTCCACCCAGTTCCTTGGGTGTGTAGAAGACGGCGGGCGGGAAACGAGAGGGCATCTTGGAGTTCAAACCAATCTTCACTCGCGTCTGGATCTTTGTCTCGCACTTGACAATGGTATCCAATAAATTGACGGTGCTGACCGCAGCCTCGCGGTAGTATGTGAAGAGTGCAATGAGGGTCGTGTTCCACTTGTTTGCAATCTTAGTAAATGTAGTGCTTCCAGAGCTCATCAGAATTTGACGAATGCGGTTATTGAACTTGGCAATATCCTCTTCGGTGACCTGGAGGAATGCATGTGCAGTCCGCTCCTTGGTTTGGTTGTCCACAAGTGCCCAGACCGAGTCCTTGGTCGGGAACTCTTCGTTCAGGTTTCGGCTCTTGGGCAGAATGCGAACTTCGAAGCCGTTCATGGCGAAGAGGAGATTGGGGTTGTCTCTGCTGTACACGCTGGCGAATGTATCATCCCACTCAACAGTGGTAATGCTTCGGGGTAAACGGTTCTTCATGTTCCAGAAGACCGCGCGACCCAAGTTGACATCATGTCTCATCAGCCTCATTCGGGAGTCGCGTGGCCAGCACTTCTTGTTCTTGTAGCCGATGACATTTTCAAAGTTCGGGTCAGGCTGCTCGGTCAAGAAGCGTTGGATGAGATCCCTCGACTCATCAGCGGTGAAGCGCCAGAAGATCCAGATCTTGTCGATGTAGCGAGTGTAGAGGCGGATGGGGTGGCGACTCTCCGTTTCCCGATCTCTGAACTGCAAGAAGTCATTGGGAGCATTCGGTGGGCCCGCCATATCAGATGCGCGTTCCAATCCCAAAAGCAGGAGATCGATGATCAATCCATAGTATTGGAATACAAAGGCACTGAACTGCAGGCCACGAATCATGCCGTATGCGTTGGTGTGGTTCATGTCCTTGTAGTTGAGCTGGACGTTGTTCTTGCTCGAAATGTAATCTGCCAGATTGTGGTCCATGATGAGTCGGAGCAGTCTGTTGAGAAGAGTAATGTCCATCTTCTCATACACCTTGTCAAGTCTGGTCTCCAGCATGACATTGCATTCGCCCTCGTCAACGCTCCAAACATTGGAAAGATTATTGATGCCCTGCGCCCACTTGTAGGTGAGAAGCGGAGGGACTTCCGAGTCCGATGGCTTGATCCATGCTGGGAATAGCTTCCGCTGATCGGCCTGGTACCAGAGATACTGGTCGAGGTATGCGTCGGTGATCTTCTCGATCGGCTCGATATCGTACACCGGGTTGATTGTGCTGTAGTTGTCGTTCATGTCGATTCCAACTTCTTTGAAGGAGCGCTGCGTCAGCAGGAAACGCTTGATGCGAGCGAGGGTTGTGCCCGGGCTGTCATAGGCTTGCTCGATCAGCGCGAGCTCTTCACGCTGGCTCTGGTTGAGACGACCCTTGACAGAATAAGCTTCCCTCAGCCGCTCGAGTGCAAGGATAAGAATCTTGGTGTCGTGCTTGTAGCTGACCGAGGGGAACGGAATTGGCTGAAACTTGCGGCTTTCCAACCAATGCACAGCGGTCGTGAAGATGGCAACACCCTCTTCCGTGCTGACATAGGGTCCGTCCTTGAGATAATTGTGTTGGCGCTCCTGCTCTGCTTTCAACCACAGTCTGGTCAAACGGCCCAGGTTCTTCTTCGCGACAGTCTTGTCGACAGTGGCACCTCTACGGATGCGCTCTCTGTTATAATGGGCCACGGAGACCCACCAGTCTGCCTTTGATTTGACATATCGAAGAATGATGTCTTCAATTGGCTTTGGTAGACCGGGCACTTTCCAGGGAATGTTGGATTTCCAGCATCTCCACGCCTCTGATAAGTGCTGCAAAACAGTGTTGACCTTGCTCTGTTTGATACCCTCTGGCATCATATCCATCAAGTCAGCCATGACGGAAGCACGCAGCTCCAAATCGAAGTGAGACTCGACACGTTGCTTGGTGACGGTCTTGGCCACACCCTTGGAGTRACGACCCTCGAACTGTCTGCTTAGCAGGTTGCCAAGCCATCTTTCCAGGAGAGGAATGATGCCGCGTAGGAAGAACAACCACACTCTCCAGGCTGGAGCCCAGAAACCACAACCTGGGCCTTTGCCGACCGGGCCGGAGTTGAATCGATAGTAAATCAAATGTTTCAAATCCTTGCACGAACGGATCTGGTGCATGAGCTTGTATTTGTACCGATACATCCCCGTGAGCTGACCAACGTGGTTGAAAGCGTACAGGATACCATCCGCAAGCTGGAACGCATCGATGTTGCCAAGACGGTACTGCACCTGAGCGTCTACAATGAGCTTGGTTAAGCGCAGAATCTCACGCATCAGGTGGAACGCGTTTCCAAATCTACTCTTCTTTCGCTCCTTGGTCGTCAATGTCTTGATTGGCTTCAAGTTGAAGTTGTAGTCGAGATGGAGATAGGTCAGATTCTTGCGGTGGATGAGCAGGTTTAACATGTTGAATCCTTGCCTGCACACTTGAAGACCGGCCTCAACCCAATCGATTGTGGTTTGCTGGAAGAACTTGGTGCTCTTCAAACTTCTGCACAGATTCTGCTTGTTCTGTGCCTTGGGGGGCTTCTTGTGCAGCTCGTTCAAGACATATGTCTTCAGCAACTTCTGGTACGACACTCTCACCTTCACAGGCTGACCTTGAGGTACGTGCTCAAGGTACCACTGCTTTACAAGCGGCACATCCTGCGCACGCACCATTTTGCCAGACCTCCTGTCAAATGGATACGGGGCCCACCAAAGGGCAATGGCAGATGCGGTGTCATCGTTGAACAAGTCCTCGTCACTGAGAAATGGTTCAACCTCATCAGGCAGGCTGAAAGCTCCACCACTGCTGGCAGGACCCTCGTCTTCTTCGTCATCGGGCTCTTCGTTGTTGCCCGGGCCAAAAAGTTCGTCTTCGAGGCTGATCGTTATATTCTTGGGGGCCACTGACCGAGAGGAGATTGGATTGATCACAGGATCAAAGTAGAAGGGTGGTAAATTGGGATCCTCGGTCTTGACGTAGACAGTCTGCGGGTAACTGTAGACACCAAGTTTTACACTTCTGGGCAAGCTGTTGTACAGGAACGGGAAAGCGACTCGGTACTCCGTCCTGATAGGTGCACGGAAGATAATGCGATCGATGGCGTTGAACTCGCCAAAGTCTTCATCGTTGGGATCAATGTCCTTGTAAAGAGGCTCGAAGCGGGGACCACCAGGAATGGCAACGTTGAGTGCCTTTGCAGTGGCAAAAGAAGGCATCTCAAACAAATGGAAGTAATTCTGATCGGTGATGTCGGACAGCAGAGGATTGCTCAGTCTGTGAAGAGTGGCCATTTGCTGTATTGTCATGTTCCATTCCTTGTAGCTAGGACCATTAACGTGGCTGGTATCTGCGAGTGGGCGCGGTTCGTAGAACCATTCAAAGACTGGCTCATCTTCGTTCTCGTCCAGCTCCATTTGAATCGGCTCCAGGGGCTCCACATCCTCAATGTTCTCACTCCAAGAAAGCGGTGGCTCCTCATCGTCAAACGGTGGAAACCGCATGCGCTTGAAGTGTCTGCGGTCACTCTTCTCTCGTCTCATCACCACCCACATAGTCGCCCATTGCGCGTGGAAGACAGGCTCGATGACGCGTGGGATCTCGTTGACAAGCGTCAAGCATCCATTCACATGATACAGCACCTTGACTTCGCGCGCACTCTCCCAGGGCATAGGCATATTTTCGAGCAGCTTCAATACAGCATGTGGCATGAACTTGAGCGCTCCCAAGTAGCTCCGCTTGTCGGCACTGAATTTCTTCTGCGAGACATCCCCAATGTCCTTGACAATCTTCCGTAAATGCTCAGGCGGCATATCAGCCTTTTGAGTCTCGACAAAACCTCCTTTGCGCTTCTCGGCAAAGCGCTGCTTCTGTTGCCGCATCCAGCGCTTTTTCTTCTCCTGAAGTTTCGCTGCTTGGGGATCCTTTGGCGGATGGTATCCAGGTGGCGGAGGCGCGGCCGATAGTCCAGGTGGTGCTCCGGGAGGGGGTGGAGGAGCCCATCCAGGCGGTGGTGGCGGTGGTCGGCCCGCCATGGTCGTGGGTGGGTTGCAGTCGAGTCTTCACTTTGTCGCGTGAAGCTTTTGTTCAGAGGTGAAGGGATTCAGCCCTGTTTGCTGTGCAATGCACGGCCCTTGCCGCAGCTTCTCGTGGAGAGGATTCCAGTCTCGATATTCGCCTTCCTGATAATGCGTCGTTTGGAAGGAGGCGCGCTATGGCCTGCGCGAGTGATGAGTTGGACAGCAGCAACTTAATGGTGGCGCGAAGAATAAGTCCAGGTCAATGTCCACTTTGGGACTAGTGACTTTTCGCTCTTGGCAAGCACCTGCGATTCCACTCCAAGCCAAATTCATCAAGTCGACGACAACGCTGTTTAGCACCACCACCGACCCGACAACCCCAGGCAAACTACCGTCACGATGCCTTCCCAGGATTCCCGTCTCACTTACGTACGTCTGACCGCGATCTCGAACCCGGGCGAAGACATGGACAATTTTGGAGAAACCGCGCATGGGACTAACATATGTGCTTCTACAGCGCCGCCGCATGCCCTACAACACCAAGTCAAACAAAGTCCGTGTTATCAAGACCCCCGGTGGCGAGCTCCGATACCTGCACATCAAGAAGAGAGGCACTGCACCAAAATGCGGTGACTGTGGCTCCAAGTTGGCTGGCGTACGTACAACCCTTCCCGGTGGTGAGGATTGAGCGCGATGAGAGAAGGACTATTAGACGATGGAGTTGGAGAACGGAACGTCTTGGAAATGGCAAAAGAAATAGTACTGACGTGGAATGGCTCTCCAGATTCCAGCTCTCCGCCCACGCGAGTACGCCCAGATCTCTCGGCCCAAGAAGACGGTTCAGCGTGCCTACGGTGGCTCGCGCTGCGCCAACTGCGTCCGGGACCGTGTTGTGCGTGCCTTCCTCATTGAGGAGCAGAAGATTGTCAAGAAGGTCATGAAGGAGGCYGAGAAGAAGGAGAAGACCACCAAGCGATAAACGCCCTCTTTTTTCCGTCAAAAAATGTTAAGCATGGAAATGGTGCGAAACGAATGGATTGAGAGTCGGGCTCTTCGGCGCAAATCGGGCTGGTTAGCAGGAATGCAATCTTCATTGATGACGAATATTTCGAGAATCGCTTCTCTGCTGGTGGACAGCGTGGTCCGCGCCTATTGCAGAAAGTCAGAGAGCTGATTGTATGACACTCTCCTCGTCGGGCGATATGAGTGATACTGTTTCAGTCTGCACGAACATATGAACCATTCTACAGCCCCCGTCGACACTCGTGCAGCGTGCAACGTGGACTCAATACTTGCTTTTCTCAAGACTGAGAACTGGACCTCGCCTATCAGACCATTTGAAAAGTTCATCGAATTGCCAGCCTCTTGTCACAAGCAGCAATGCGGCTCATGATCAAATAATCATGCCAATCATGAATATTTACATGTGCACAAACTGCAATCACTGATGCAGGCGAATAGGTAGACACGTTGAACGGGGGCGAGCTACGGCAATCGTTGCAAGTCTACCTACGCGTCAAGTTGATCAATTGATTCGAACCCTATCTTGACTACCTTGAGGATTTGCTACCGGTGCCCAAGCAAGCCAGTCTACTATCGGTCACAATGTTCCATCGAACAGTTCGTACTTCTCCCCTCTGCTCTCCAGAGCGTCCTCTAGCCTCTTCATGACGGCCAGCACCTTTTCCTCCTCTAATCTTCTACCAACGACCTGCACGGCAACAGGCAGGCCGGCCATCTTCTCGGCGTCGTAATGCTTGTACGCACCCTGCGCTACACCATTCATCTTCTTGACACTGACGCTGGCGGGAAGCGCATCCTTTGCGGCGTCCACATGTGTCACTGGCAAGATCCCGCAAGAGTAGTCCAGCAGGTTGAACATGAACGTGTAGCCACAGCTCGAGCTCGCCTCCTTCATGCCATTATGCGGTACAGCAGGTGTGGCGTTGGGAGGTGTGAGCATGACATCCATTCCATCTCCAAACTCGCCGAAGGTGTTCCACCAGGCGTGGAATTTCGCCTTGTAAGCTTCACGTTTCGCGACCCACTGCCAGTTCTCATATGCGGACTTTTCGTGCCAGTGCTCCAGGAGCCCGGCCCAGATCGAATCGCGCTTGATGTACTTGACATATGCGTAGTAGAACCATTTAATGAAACGTGGGAGGCGCATGTAACGACCGAATTCTCTCGCGCCTGGGTCATCAGACTCACCGGTGCGGAAGTAGGAGCGAAACGTCTTGGTACCGTCAGCATTGAGTAAGTTGGATGCGATGACCATGGCTTCGTAAGGATCGGGTGGACTGATGTCGAAGACTTCGTGACCTTGCGCTTCAAGAGCGTCGGCGGCCATTTGCAGAGCGCGCACACAGGCTGGGGCAGGATCAACAACATTGTCAGTACGCATGATGCCTATCTTGAGCTTCTTGCGATCAAGGTAGGATGATTCAACAGAATCTCGCCAGGCCAGAGGGTGTACCGACTGGTCGTAGTTCCAGGGTTTCATTTGAATGAAGGATCGCGTGAAGTAAGTCAAGTCGAGCAATGTGCGTGCCATGGGGGAGAAGACAGAAGGGATGCCTTCCTGACCAGGCATCGAAGTGCTAACCCCAAGTTTAGGCCAGCGGCCTGTGGAGCATCGGATCGAGTAGCAGCCAGAGAAATGTGCTGGAGCACGAACAGAACCAGCAACATCCGATCCAATACCGATCCTGCTACCGCCAAAGGCAAGGATGGCACCCTCACCGCCAGTGCTGCCTCCTGGAGAGTATTTGTGGTTGTGGGGGTTCAAACATCGGCCCCAAACATCGTTGAAGCTCTCGAAGCTGAGCAACGTCACTGGCAAAGCCGTCTTGACGAAAGGAACGGCTCCGGCATCTTTCAACATACGTACAATGCCTCCATCAAGAGGTGTAGGCTTGTTGGCATTGCATGAATAGCCCACCGTGCTGTCAAACCCTCCCACGTGGATGCTGTCCTTTAAGCTTACAGGAATGCCGGCCAATGGTCCTTTGAGATTGATCTCTCCGTTACGGAGCCACTCTTCCGCCTCCTTGACCWTCACCTCCGTTACACAATTCGTCTTCTCTTGAGCCTTTACGGCCGCCTTGGTGTATGCTCTAAGCACATTGACGGCGGTCTCTGGATCACGTTGGACATCATGGACGAGCTCGTCGATCGGCTCGCTGAGAATCTCCCGCTCGGCAAGGGAGATGGGCGTTTGGTATAGCTTGGGCAGAGTAGCTATGCGATCTGCGCGCTCCGACTGTTTCGTCTGACTGTGAGAGGCATGTCTTGTTAGTGTGATATACAACGTGCTGAAGCGTGGGATGTGAGGTGGGGTAATATACCACGCCGCGCGATGCTCGAAGTAGTCGAAYGGAGCCAGCATTTTGTCGATGCAGCCTTAATGGCAGACCTTGTGGGTTTCGGCCAGGGGAACCTACAAGTCCCTCTCTTTGGGCGTGTGCCGACAGGACGGTATGGATATTTGACTAGATGTTGGAGGAGGAGACGGGCGATCGAGTAAGAGTGCGTTGGTGCATCAACTTATTGGCGGGGAAAGCTTATATGTAAGCTTCCAGCCTTGAAGGTTCCGTCTCTTCACTGCCCTATCTGCTGTACATCCACTTTCATATCCGATATCCTCTCAGCCCAGTTCTCTAATCTTCAATCTTCAATCGATTTCCGGCCAACTTGGAATGAAGTTGCAGATGAAGCATAAAAAGGGCCAAGTCTGTTCAATTCTGCATCTCGAACCCTCGACAATGCTCGGTTGGTGATGGTCATCTCAGTCCCGGTCAACGTGCCGAGTGGCCGAGATGTGGAATTTCGTTCAGCCGGCGGGCTCCGATGCTGGCCGGTTGGACATACTCCATACGGAGGATAGCGATGTCTGGGGCAAGCGGATTACGATTCTGGACGTTTTTTGCTTAGGAACCGGACGCATAGTGCCTTCGACTACCGGCTAGTTTTAGATTTCGTCCTACGACTTTGTCGGGCTAAAGCGCCCGGAGTGTCGAGGCAGCGAAGAGACCTTTTATCTAGCGTTATATAAATAGATAGAGCACATATACGTTCCCTTACCTGCTATCTCTAATATTTAACGTATTACTACTCTTATAAGATATTAATCTTAATACGTTCTCGTCCTCGGTAGCCTCTCGGCAGCCTCTCGGCAGCATTTCGGCCTATCTAAAATAACTAAGCGATTATCTATAATAGCTATAAGAACTAAGCCTCTACGGAAAGCTATTTATTATAGCACGGCTTTCGCTATAGATACTTCTACTAAGCCGTAATTCCGCCTCGCTCCGAGTACTAGGAGCTCCGCCTTAGGCGTATAGAGAAGATAGGTAGCGTAAGTATCTCGCGGTCGATATTTTATAGCGGTATATCTAAGAGGCAGCCTAGATTCTACGAATCTCCCGTAATCGACATCTCCTCGCGACCTTATAAGGTAGAGATGTCTATATAGGTACTCCGGAAGTTTCTCTACTAGTACGTAAACTATTTAAGTATTACGAAGCTTAGCTCGATCTATATCTTTACGCGTTAGTTTAGGCAAGCATATAAGGTGTAGATATCTATCGTCTTAGACCCTAAGCTTATTACGGAAATAAGATACGTAAGTCGTATCTACGGAGGCTATATAGACAATAACTAACTTTAGTAGTATATCGAGAACGATTTGCTTATCGAATTCGATCTTTTATAGAAGCGTAAGGACAAGCCCGTGCTTAATATAGATAATCTGCTCGCTACGTTATACTACTACTAGTCTATCTATAATGTATAGTTCGTAACGGAGCGCTAAAGAATATAGCTCCCGCTTCTGCTACTACTTATAGCGTATACGTCGGGCCGCCTATCGGCTTTTATTAAAAATAAGAAGTATGTTAGACGGGACACAATTAACGAAGACGAATACAACTTTCCTAGCTAATACACTTCTTATAAACCTATCGTAGATTCTCTAAAGTATAAGGACATTTAACTATTTAAGATTAAGCACTTATAGCGAGAAGACGAGCATATATTTATTATAATCTTAACCCTTCGGCTTATAAAAGGCTTCCGGAACTAAGGTCTCGCGTACGTTGTCCCGTTTTCGAGTTAGAATAGYAGCTTACCCTCTATAGTCCGAAGTATRCGTTCTACGAGCGGGATAATAATCTTTCCTTCTACCCGATCCTTTATATCCTTACTCTTACCCTCGCGGACCGGGCTTTCTAAAGTCTATAGATAACGGACGCTCGGGACCTTTACTCTTTTAACGTAAGTAACGAACGTAGCCTATAGGCTATACCGCTCGAGTAGAAACCGGAAATGCTTWAGATRCCCCTTTTTCGAAGTTYAAACGCGAGCTATCGGGTATAGAAATACTCTAAAGCTCGCTTATCGAACGCGCGACTTAGTAAAGCGCTAGGTTTTAAAGACCCTTTCCGCTTCTACTAGATTCGACGCGGAGCTAGGGAAGCGATTAACGGTAAGCTTAGGACACGGGTAGAGGAAACGGAGGGAATATACCGCTAATCCTCTATAGCTCGGATAATAGCTACGGTACGCAACCGTACGATAGGCTATAGTAGGTTAGATATATACGACAAGTTTTACACGAACTAAATAGTTACGAGCGACATAGAGTCCGCTTTCCTTAGTATAGCGTCCTAAGACTAGGTACTAAATCTCGCCGGTTACCTTAGTTTAACCCGCGATCCCCGTATATTAGAAATTGTTAAAAGCCTAACTTAGAGAGATATCGATAGTTAACTAGCCGTCCGCTCTCTCTATAAGGAAGTCGCCTCGTTATAACAAAATCTAATCTAAGTCTATAGTACCCTAAAACGAGCACATAACGCTAGTGCCGGGGAGCCTTTATCTACTACTCGGAAGAAACTATTAGCGGTAAGAAAGAGGACGGGAAGGGAGATATTAGTAGTAAGATAGAGCGAGCATTTTACATCGGTCGGTATAAGTAAGATTTACCGGTAGAGAACGGGGTAAAACGTGCCTTCTTAACCGCTATAGCAACTAAAGTCTTATAAATTTAACGAACGCTCTTAGCTCGTAGAAATCCTCTATAGGAACGACGACGTTACTAAATTCGCGCCGGTAGATGTCGTTAAACGGCGAGTAGCAGCCTTAACTACGATAATAGGTCTGTGCTAACGTAAATAAGTAGCCCGGTAGCGAGGAGTTTGTACATTTTCCGAGGACGTCGATATAGAACTAGAACCTAGTACTAACCGTCTCGACGGTAATTAATGCCCGTAGTGCCTCTACGACATAATACTTTTAATAAAGCAGAGGCAGTTTCGTTATATCTAGTTAAGGAGTCTACGGAACTACATCGAAGGTGTTCATTTTAGAGACCGACTTACTACGCTAGATCCTATATTAATTTCTAACAACACCTCTATATACGATTGCCCTTTTACTCGTTATAGACTTACCTTTAGCGGCGAAGATTATCTAAAAAACTATCTTGCTTCTACGTATAATCTCTTCTACTCGGCGAGTAAGAAGGTAGCAGATTAGTAATAAGCCTTAACTTTTAATTAGGCTTACTACTAACGAGGGCGTATCTATCGAAGTTAGGGGCAAGTTTAATTAAATAATCCCGAGGCTGTGCTTCTCTATACTAGATAAAGTAAGTAAATACTATGCATATGTTAATTATCGCTACTTATATAGCTACCTTTCCTCCTGTTTTATTACCTATACTATAGAAGGAAGATAAGACATCCTCCGTATCTAATCTCCGTTTCTTCGAAGCTAAGTCTCCCCTCTCGGGTTATTTGTTACCTAGTAGTAAGTTTCGCGGTGTCCTTAGACCTAAAGTCTCTATACTCGATAAGTAAGTCGCTTTCTCGTCGTTAGATCCTAGCGAGATCCACTCTAACTATAGTACGAAATCGTTCGTTCCTCTAAAGCAATATATAGGGCACACCTTATTATTATTCTCGTGAAATGCCGCCTCTACTAGTCTTAGCTCTTGTTACCGCTTAGCTGCGGCCGTCTATAATAGMATAATAAATTCGACGTAAGACTACTACCGAGTGCTTAGGTGCCGAACAGGCTTAAAATTATACCCGTTTATAGAATTCTACGCAAGTAGATAAGTACAGCATTCCGTTACTTAAAGAAAAAGCTCTTACGAAATTTTAAGAAACTACGGAGCTTGCTTAGTATATCGACGACTTTTATATAGCTGTCCGTATAGCCTTTATAACAACTATAGACGAAGATAGAGGGCTACGCGATATCGTAGTTAGGATTCTATAGGAACGCGCTCGGGACGTCGTAGAGAATCCTAGTATAGAGAGGACGATCCGCGATATCGACGGGCTAGCGTATAGTCTTTAGAAGGCCGCGCCCTATACTCCGGGGCCTCGGTATAACGTCTACGGCATTACCTTCGTTAAAAGCTAGCTTATCTTTACACGACCGACTTAGTAAATTATGGGTTTCTACAAGACTCTTCTAGGCGTTACGCGTAAAGATCTATATACGCGCAAGATAACTACCGATTACGTCGGACAGTTCACGGWGTAAAATAACAGAAGATTTAGTCACAAACAGTAGTTAGTAAAGCGGCCTCGGTCGCCTATAGCACGACATGTTACGTAGTCTCTAGTTTACCTAAAGACAATTTCCATCGCTTGCGCGCACTTCGCTCTATAATATAGACGTGCGGCACTAGACAGCTGCCTCCTAGTAACTTGTATAGAAAGTCGTGCTAGATGCTTTAGTTAGCCTACGTAATATAAGGAGAGCTTTCTCTTACTCGAAGGAGCTCTATAGCTTTCCGGAGCGTGCATTGTTCTAAGAAGTCGTAGAATATGCTAGAAGGAGGACCTAGGTTGTTACCCGGGAACAGTGCTTTTGCAAGAGTCCCAACTAATTCGACGTCTTATTAAGACGGCCGCTCCTCTTTAAGCATAGAATCTCCTATACAAGCTTGTTCATAATTAACTTTAATACAATTTCACCCTGTTTTAAAGACTAACCAATCTTTACGGCTCCTAATAATGTGACTAACACATTCTTAATGTCGACGTTATACCCAATATTAAGCTTGTGCAAATGCTCTAGACCTAGAAGAACCTACGAACATGTTAGTTGCGTTTTGTTTTTCTAGACTACTACTTGCCTCTTTAATTATAGCTGCAACCTTATACTCCTTAAGAGGGGCGCTTAGACTAGCTATAATATCTATTAGAGATAAGGTCATAGTCTCGTAGACGAGTACGGTAAGTTTACCATCCTTATAGTAACTACGTAGATTCACTAAACTCGGATGATTAGTACACCGGAGCTTTGAGCTTAATAACAGTTGCGTGTGCTATAGGAAGACGATCGGGAAGGTTAGAACGGCTTTATAAGCAA